AACACTAGTCAACACGATTTTCCTCAAGGAACAAAACGAACTTTTTCTTAAAGATTTGGGGCTTAGAAATGGTTTGATTTTTTTTTTTTTCTATGGCAGTACTTTTTTTTAAAGAATTTTTGAAAACTGGTATTTTTTTCAGCTCTAGTATCTTACGTCTGGTTGCAAAGAACTTTGCTATTTTGAAAAGATAATTAAAACAGCTAGTTAAGCCCAAACACTTTGTGATTACAGCTTACCGTCTGGGAAATATAAAGCATTGAAATGCAAAAATGATGATTTTTGTGCGGTATTTTTTACGAAATTTTGACTTTAAAAACTCAGGAAAAGTCGAAAAAAAATTATATCCTGTGTCATCTATTTTTTTGTGTTTAGGTGCATTAATTTGGCGTCGTTTAAGGTATCGCTCATTAAAATCTATGCAGAGACTTTGGAGCTAAAATTCGTTAACCAAACCTAAAAATGAAAAAAATGAACAAAAAATACCTTTTCGATGGTTGCGGGCCCAACTGCCAGTTGTAAACAAAGCAAACTTAAAACGGTTGTACATTTGGTACCTGATCGCGTTCTTTTGGTATGAAATGTTGTTGACAGTTACTTTTTCGTTATACCCAATCTGAGGTAGGGATACCTGTTCAGGTCAAATGTTTCCTTTATATTCTCACAAGTGCAGGTCCACAAAAATTAGAAATAGAAAGACCTGAGATATGGGATTTCATTCCTTAACCCATACAGCAATCAGTAATTTTTAGTCGTTTCAGTCAATTCTAAAGATATATGTACAAACTTTTTTGTTTGGTGTTATGTTGCTACATAAGTGATACATTTGGTTTGCTAATGCTTGTTTTTTTTTTTTTAATAATTTAAGTTTTCTGGCTGTTTTCCTTTTTCATTCGAACCAGATTATCTTATGAGATTCCACACATAGTCGCCTATAATGTTCTCATTCCAAACACCTTTATAACGTTGTTCCATAGATTTGAATTGTTGATGAAATCTCTCTCCGTGTTCATCACTAACGTCGCCTAGGTTTGTCGGAAAAAAGTCCAAGTGGGAGGCAGAAAATGAACTTTTGGTGACATATTTGCCCCGAATTTTTTTTTTCTTAATTAGCTCTTGGACGATATTAACATAAACATCAGAGAATATAAAGGAACCAATTGACCTGAACAGGTATCCTACCTCAGATTGGGTATAACGAAAAAAGGAACTAATTATCTTTTCAAAATAGCAAAGTTCTTTACAACCAGGCGTAAGATACTAGAGTTATGTGAAAAAAATAAGTGCTACCTCTGAAAAAAGGTTTAAAAAAATACCAGACTTCAAAAATTCTTCAATAAAAGTTCTGCCATAGAAAAAAAAAACCATAATTCTTTAAAAAATTGTAAATCCCCATATCTATCAGAAAAAGTCGGTTTGGATCCTTGAGGAAAAAAAAGTTCGATTTTGTCGAGTAGTGTAATCGTCGTATCCATCACATCGCTTTATTATATCGGTCGTCATACTGACGTCTACTTTCCCTTACCAATACGAAATAAACTGTAAAACATTACCTATTGAAACGCTCGACTTTGTTCTTAATAATAACTGAGTTTCAACGGCTATTAAAGTTTTTGGCAACTGCCTGATTATTGTTTGCCGTCGAATTAAGAAATGATAGCGGGGATGCTGTTTAGGGTCCTGTGAAAAGCGCATCTTGCATCGATATAGGTAGTTTTTATAGCATTGAACCTTAAGAACGGACTTATTTGACCGAGCTATTACATGGCGAGAGAGAGAAGTAGAACCAACCTCTTGTGGTTTTGGCACCACAGGTCTAGTAATATCCGGCTCAGATTGAGATTGGGATTCAAAGACATTTTTTTGCTACATCTGATATCTACATCTACAATGTATATTCTACATCTTACATGTAGATTGTACATGTTTCATTCAGATTCTACATCTCCCCCGCTAGGGGTTGCCTCGCACTGAACGCGGCAGAGTGTGCGAGCGAGAAAGAGATAGGTACCGGGTCTCTGGCAGGGGGAGGCAGAGGAAGCAACAGAAAATTAATTTCTTCATTTTGGCTATAATTTTGATCCGATCTGCTTCAGATTCGGCAGTCTGGTAGATATGGGTATCGTATCTTTAAAATTGTGCCTCCCACAGATTTTCGTTCTTTGTGGAGGCGGAAGGGGGCGGGGCGAAATTTTGAAATACACTTGTAGCAGTGTGATATCACATGAGTCTGGAAACCAAATTAGGTTTCTCTAGCTCTTATAGTCTCTGAGATCCAGGCGCTCATCGAGACGGACAGACGGACGGACGGACGGACAGACGGACGGACAGACGGACGGACAGACGGACGGACGGACATAGCTATATCGACTCGGCTATTGATTCAGCATCAATATATAGTATATATATATATATGTATACTTTATGGGGTCGGAAACGTTTCCTTCTCTGCGTTGCACACATCCACTTTTACCACAAATCTAATATACCTTTTTTTAAATACGGGTATAAAAATGTCTGTATCGTGATTTTCAACATTATTTAATTGGGATTTTTAAGCCAAGAATGCTTAGATCAGCTTAGTTTAAGTTTTGTTGATGAAGCACCAAACATTGCCAATGTAAGAAACTGGTGTCGCGAATTTAATCGTGGAATTCCTTCGTTGCAGGACGACTTTCGTGAAGGTCGTTCAAAATTAATTGTTGTGCCATAAAATATCGATGCTGTGCGAGAAATGATTGAGCATCTTGCTTCCTTGGGCATTACTATGATGACCATTAATAAGATTTTCCATGATCAACTCTTGGTAAAAAATATGTGTAAGCGTGAGAGAGAACCCAATCAATTTAAAAATCGAAAATTTTACCAAAAACAATTGTAGTACTTCAAAAGCTGTGTTCAACATATATACAGGTTACAAATCATGTATGTATAAATATAAAAACGAAAAAAAATCAATAATCGACGGTACAAAGGCTGATTAAGGCCTGTTTTAGTGATATTTTCTTCTGAAAGCTAAAAGTACTGCGAAAATAAGCTAAAATTTTTCAAAATAGGGTTTCGTATTCCTGAAGAAAATTGTTGAAAAAATTAAAACCATTTTCAGCGCCTAATAGCCGTTAAATGGAACGTGCGAAAATGATGCCCATAAGAACCCTGTGGATAGAAGAAGACAATGATGCGGCGCATGATTGGCCAATGATGCCGTATTCTGTGTAGTATTTTTACAAAATACAGCAATTATTCGAGGTATCGACGGTTATCGATGTGGTATGGGGTACAGCTGTTCTTATCGCATAAAACAATAACAACAAAGCTAAAAAATTATGCCAAAAAAGATTCGGCTTTGGTGTAAACGACTCGCCTCAAATTTCCGCACCGTCGACAATGATGCGGCAGTGTAAAACGGCTATTAGTTGTGTTTTCCATAGTTAGGCCAGAAACTTAAAAATCAGCCTACGTATAAGAAAAACAAAACGATAAAAGTGATACAAGGTATAGCTGCCATATACACATGTTCAAGTTAGCGTATTTTTTTAACTTTGACCAAGTGTTCAAGTCTTTACCTCTAAAAGTATTAGAATCCGACTAAAACTTTTTATTTTAATAGTTCATAACAAAAGGAACATTCTAAGACCCTGAAACCTTTAAAAATAAAAATTTTCCATAAAAAGCGCCCCCTACTGTACATACACTACTGATCAAAATAATAAGTACAGGGGCATCGTGCTAATTTTTTATGGAATATCTCGAATGTTTTTGAATGCACGGCTGCCAATTTTTTATGTTTTTAAAGATTACAGTTTTGCAAAACATTTATATCAAAATTGAAAGGCCTTTATTCAATTCTAAACTTCAAATTGTGCTGGATGGGCATTTTTGGTGTGGTCAAAATAATAAGTACACTGGAGTTAATTAAAAATGTTTAAGGATTTCATCAGGATTTTGCATAATAGTCTATGGCTGATTTTTTGGCATGGCGTTGAACCGGTACATCTTTTTTGATCCTATGACCAAATTCAGGTATAAAACGAGAAGGAACGTGTGAGTCGCTTCTAAAGACGCGACTCTACTTATACCCGTACTCAGTCAGTATTTACATTTTTGAACGTATGATTTTTTAGAATTTTAGAATTAAAAAAAACATTTTTCTACATCTGTTATCTACATCTACATCTACAATGTATATTATACATCTAACATGTAGATTGTACATGTACCAATTAGAATCTACATCTCCTCCGCTAGGGGTTGCTCGCGCACTGAACGCGGCAGAGTGTGCGAGCGAGATGGAAAATGAGATGTGTAGTCGTTGGCAGGGGCAGGGGAAGCAACTGAAAATTAATTTCGTCATTCTGGCTATAATTATGATCCGATCTGATTCAGATTCAGCAGTCTGGTATATATGGGCATTTTCTACGATACTGCGTTTTTAGTTTAATCGTATCTTTAAAAATGTGCCTGCCACAGATTTTCGGCCTTTGTGTGGGCGGAAGGGGGCGGGGCGAAATTTTGAAATACACTTGTAGCAGTGGGATATCACATGAGTCTGGAAACCAAATTGGGTTTCCCTAGCTCTTATAGTCTCTGAGATCTAGGCGCTCATCGAGACAGACAGACAGACAGACGGACAGACAGACATGGCTATATCGACTCGGCTATTAATGCTGATCAAGTATATATATACTTTATGGGGTCGGAAACGTTTTCTTCTCTGCGTTACACACATCCACTTTTACCACAAATCTAATATACTCCTGAACTCTTTTTTGAGTACGGTTATAAAAACATATTGACCAACACTATGCAACCATATGCTGAGGTAAACATGTCCTTGAGACGGTTCTTTCAAGAGGACAGCGACTCAAAGCACACTTATACACACTTATTAAGATTCATAATTCAAGGTGAATTTATTTACTTACCTATTATCAAAACATATTACACTTTTTAAATCATATATTAAAGATTCATAGTTCAGGGTGAATTTCTCTACTTACTTATGTATTTCTGGAGAATCATACGACAGCAATCGAATCAATGGTGGTATTCCTCCTAATGATCGTGTACGTTGCTTATTTGGGTCATCCATGTAACATAAATGTTGCAAATATGCTGCTGCATTTGCTTTTATAGCATTGTTCGGATTACTGAGAAAACTTATTACTTCTGAAAGATTTGGATCACGCCACCTCATGGTTGAACAAAGGTCGTTGTCGGATCCGCCGATATAATCTTCTTTCTCCCCCACTCCTCGGGGGGGAACAGCATTTATAGAATTCATGGCGAACTGAGGTAATTTAAAATCAGCTGTACCGTCAAAAGGTCGACATTGAGACTCGCCAATAGTTTCAGACCCATTTAGGTTATCATCAAAAGGACTTGCAGTGAATTGTTTCAGATTAGTGCTTGTACCTTGTATTCCATAACCAGGTTCCGTCGTGTAGCCGTAAGGTACTACGGATTCATCAGTATAGTGGGACTCTACACCACAAGGTATACCTGAAATCCCATATTCTGGCGTCTCGTCAAATTGGGCGGCTTGTATGTATCTTACAGTTGGACCTAGTGAATGATTCTCCATACCGGCCAGGGCAACTTCTGGAGAATCTGTCTCGATCTTATTCTGAGGACCAAGTACTGAACAATGAGGCGTAATATGTGATATGGCACCAATCCCTGGCGGCTTTGTGATGTATATTGGTGTATTTGTATATCCAGCTGCCGAAAATTGTTCGAAATTTTGAAAAGATGCATACTGGGTTTGCATACTGTTTGCCTCCTGTACCAAAGATGGATCCATGTTCAAACTATGTGCTGGATTCATGATTTAACTATATCAAATTAAAAAAAAAAAATGTTGAATAGTAAAATTTATATACTATGTTCTGCACTCCATAGTTAAAACAGCGGGGGCTAGAAAATTAATTTCTTCATTCTGGCTATAATTATGATCCGATCTGATTCAGATTCGGCAATCTGGTAGATGTGGTCATTCTCTACGATACTGCGTGCGGAAGGACGTTTCGGAAGGACGAAATTTTGAAATACACTTGTAGCAATGTGATATCATATGAGTCTGGAAACCAAATTTGGTTTCTCTAGCTCTGATAGTCTCTGAGATCTAGGCGACAAACAAGACGGACGGATGGACAGACAGATATGGCTATATCGACTCGGCTATTGATGCTGATGAAGAATATATATACTTTATTGGATCGGAAACGTTTCTTTCTCTGCGTTACACACATCCACTTTTACGACAAATCTAATATACCCCTTGACTCTTTTTGAGTACGGGTATAAAAACAATTATATTATTTTGTTAATTATTTCTCTAAAATATGACTTTCTTATTTAATTAGTAAAAAGGTCATTTAAGGACAAGTTCTTCTTTATTAAGGCTGATTCCACTTCTGGAATGATGTAATTTTTAAACAGTTTTAAATGTTAAACAGTTTAAAATATAAAACCTATACAGTTCGTGTTAGCGAGAAGTAAAGAAGTAAGAAAAGTAAAGATAATTAAAACGGCACATCCTGATCTGGAAATCTGGTTGGCGTAACCACGAATCACAACATTTTTACTTGTAAGTTTCCAAGTTAGTACTTTTCACATTTTTGAAATTGGATCAAATTGCACATATTCTAGAAAAACAAAAACAAAGATAAAAAATGCCAAATTAAACCCAAAATCGATTTCCGGATAGAGGATGTTTGATATTTTTCAGGCTGAAGCAGTTTAAAAAATGACAGGTTTCACCAGAAAAGGGCTGAATTGGCATCACTGATATTGAAACTAAGTGACAGAATTCAAACATTTCGAGCGGTATCGATGGGTGCATAGTTGCATAGTGCAATGCTTGCATGGCATGAGGAAAGCAGTTTACATCCGATCAAGAATTTTAGACAATCAAATTACCGGTTTTTTCCAAATATCTCAATTTTTGAATTAATTTACATATGTATGTACAGTGGTGCTCATAGACTTAAGCCACAAGACTTCAACCAAGAATTTAAACGAAAATTAAGAAAAGTTGTTATTTCACAGCTCCAATTTTTTGTGTCACATTAGTTCTATATATCAGTGTTCTAATAGAAGAATAACCCAGCTATAAAAATATATATTCAACGAAAAACTTAAAAAATCTGAGACCATCTCCAAAATGTCCTGCTCACATACTTAAGCCACCTGGAAAAAAATGGTTGAAAAATTTAAAATTTGCCCAATACTCCTTATACTTTTAATAAATTTACTTAAATATTGAGTGGAATGACCTTTCTGCTTAAGAACAGCGGAGCAACGCTTTGGCATTGAATCCACAAGACGTGCGCACTGTTGAGGGGTGATTTTCTTCCATTCTTCTCGCAAAATTCGTCACAAATCGTTTTTATTTGCTGGTTTTTTTTGGCCAACGACTTGTTTAAGAATTCCCCACAAGTTCTCTATAGGGTTTAAGTCGGGGCTCTGCGGTGGCCATTGCAAAACATTGATTGCCTCTTGGTTAAGCCACGACTTGACTATCTTGCTGGTGTGTTTCGGGTCGTTGTCCTGTTGAAATATCCAGGCAATTGGCAAATTATCGGCATATTCTCCAGATAAATTGTTAATAAGGATGTCCCTGTACATTTCGACGTTCATAATGCCTTCTATCTTCACTAGGGGACCTACGCCCGATGCGGTGAAACAGCCCCAGACCATAATCGAAGCGCCACCATGTTTAACGGTCTTCTTCGTGTATTTGGGGTCCAATTGTTTGTTGGGAGTTGGGAGGACGTCGTAAATATGGTTTACCATCAATCCCAAAGACATTAAACTTGGATTCGTCGCTCCAAACAATCATGTTCCAAAAATTGGGACCTTTTTGAATATGCTCTGTGGCGAATTGAAGGCGCTTTTTAACATTTTTAATGGACAGCAAAGGTTTTTTTTTTTGGGCAATGCGTCCATATAACCCGATTTCATTTAGCCGTCTTCTTATGGTCTGAGCTGACACATTCACGCCATAATCTGCCACCATTTGACCTCTGATTTGCGTCGAAGTCAAGAACGGATCGGCTTTACTGATTTTGGCAATCCGTCTATCGTCGTTTAAAGTGGTTTTTCTGGGCTTTTCACGTGGAATATTTTCCCAGGTTCCATGTTTCTTATAAAATGCAATGGCATTTCTGATTTTGCCACGCGAAAAATGTAGTCTTACAAATTTGTAGAATACTTGTGCTTTTTTCGTAATATTCCCATATTAGCTTTCTTTCGGCCGGATTTGTATTTTTATTTTTAGCCATAGCGGTCAAATTGTTTTGGGAAACGTATTTAGTATTCAATATTTTAGTTTAGAAAATAACTAGCACAACTTTCCCGGAAAAAACACAAGTTTGACGATTTTAGCTCAAGGTGGCTTAAGTATATGAGCAGAGCGCAATACTCCTTTTTGACATTTAGTCAATTTTTTGGGAACCCCCGAATTCCTACTTGTCATTTTTTACTGTGATCAACTGCTTAAATAACAGTGTTGCAAAATGTAAAAATTTCAGGCCGAAATAAATATGTTCAAAAAAGTTATTAAGAAAACAGTTTATGGTAGTGGCAGTGGCTTAAGTCTATGAGCACCACTGTATGTATATCACTATAAAAGGTGGAAGACCTTTAGTTTTTCATCATTCTGGAGAGATGTACATATTTACATGTACATTGTATATACAATTAATAGGATCTGTACATTCCATATTTTCCACGATATGTATATGTATGTACATACATTCCATACATACATAAGCTTCTTGTAAAAAAATATTTACAAATGTATGTAGGTAATACCTACTAGGTATGCACATATAAGCATCGAACATGCCACGCCCCCTTATGTATCTACATAAGTATGTAGCCATTCGAAATATAAAATTTTGTGCTAATTACATGTTTCAACTGTTATATGTATGTACATAAAAATATATATTTTTTATATCTCTTCAGTTTAGCAGCACACATTAAAACAATTAATTTAAGGGTAGACTTGGGTAAATTTAATTATTGATTTTTCAAACTTGCTGTAATGGGACCGATCAGATCTGAAAAACTTTAGTCATGGAAGTTTATGGTGCTTTTTTGACCGATATACATTAACATAAATTTAACACAAGATAGAAAATGTACAATTTTTTGGAAAACAATTATGTTGGACATACTATGAAGTTGAGTCTGTAGTCTTCCATACAGATATTCACACCATATATAAATGTATTCATTTTTGTGCTCACCAATTGATGAATCTTTTAATGTTGTTATTTACGTTAATTCACATTTTCAATACCTCTAGATTATAAAATATGCATTTTCTGCGAAACTAGCAAGTTATCACTGAGTATATGAAAAAACGATTTTGCAATGTTATTCTTTTTTTAATAACCAGGGATTCCAATGATATTAAGAGTAGTCTGACCGAATCGTGAACGCTAAAATATACCATTTTTGTTTTCCAATTATACTAAAATATACCATTTCCGGCCTAAAATATACTGTTTCAAAACTCGAGCACTAACCATACAGTATACATATATGTAGATGTGCCAGTTCATACAACAAAAGGGGCGCAAGCTGAGTGTTCTGTCCCGGCTCCCAGCGCTTCGGCTCTGTGAAGCTGAGACACTCGGGTCGGGAGCCAGGCCATTCGGGTCGGCAGCTGAGCCGTTCGGCATGTATGACTCATGTCGGGAAGCGAAAGCAAGCTGAGAATTGCAAATGTATGTGTGTAAACAGACACGACAAAATTTTGTATCAATTCTTATTTTCCGAAAACGTTTTGAGTTTGTTTTGATTTTTTACAGGTTACGTAAGTGTGTGTGTGCCATGTATTCACACCTACTATGCTTGTGTGTGGGCTCTACAATTTTTGGCCGCTTGAATTGGTTTTTCGTTTTGTTTTGAGGGCTGATGTGATGTAGCGACCTATTCAGGGCCGGATCAACCCTCAACCGGGCCCTGGGCAACCATCAATCTGGGGCCCTCCTTTATTTTGTATTTTTCTCAGTGGCTATTATATTTTTTCTTCATTACTTGGAGTTTTGTTTTTTCAACAAAATTTTTCTGTTATTTCTAGGAGGGCCCTAGGCAACTGCTAATCCGGCCCTGGACCTATTCCCGTCGTAAGACTTCATATTTTCTTGGTGTGTTCTGTCGCTTGACTCGACGCGGGTCGGGTCGAGGCATTGACGAAGCTCGTTCATAAAATATTTTTTCGTATTGTTTTGAAAAGCTAATGTTGCGTCGGGCGCGCGGAGTATTTCTTCCATTCTCTTTTAGGCTAGCCTTTGCCTCTGCTTTCGGCTTGGTCAATACCTCGACCCGCGTCGAGCGACAGAACACACCAAGAAAATATGAAGTCTTACGACGGGAATAGGTCCAGGGCCGGATTAGCAGTTGCCTAGGGCCCTCCTAGAAATAACAGAAAAATTTTGTTGAAAAAACAAAACTCTAAATAATGAATAAAAAATATAATATCCACTGAGAAAAATACAAAATAAAGGAGGGCCCCAGATTGATGGTTGCCCAGGGCCCGGTTGAGGGTTGATCCGGCCCAATAGGTCGCTACATCACATCAGCCCTCAAAACAAAACGAAAAACCAATTCAAGCGGCCAACAATTGTAGAGCCCACACACAAGCACAGTATGTGTGAATACATGGCACACACACATTTACGTAACCTGGAAACGAAACTCAAAACAAACTCAAAACGGTTTCGGAAAATAAGAATTGATACAAAATTTTGTCGTGTCTGCTTACACACATACATTTGCAATTCTCAGCTTGCTTTCGCTTCCCGACATGAGTCATACATGCCGAACGGCCCAGCTCCCGACCCGAATGGCCTGGCTCCCGACCCGAGTGTCTCAGCCTCACAGAGCCGAAGCGCTGGGAGCCGGGACAGAACACTCAGCTTGCGCCCCTTTTGTTGTATGAACTGGCACATCTATATACTGTATGGTTAGTGACTCGAGCCACTAAAGCCTAGTACTCAGATCGAAAAACTGTTTGCCAGCAAACGAATGTCATATTTTCTTCGAGCAGCCAGTGTGTGACCAGAGGTGTGCACTGCATTCCGAACGGTTACTCTGCTTAGACAGCTGCTTGGTTTTGTTCAAAGTTAATAAAATGCACTTCTTCGGCTGGGGCCGCTCTTCCCCAGCCATATCCTGGGCTCCCCAATATTTTATTGGCAAGGTAATGTGTCTGACTATCAGCAGCAGATGGCGACGCCTCCTGTGCCTCACACCGTGAAGACAAACTGTTTTGAAAACAATATTTGTTTTATATTTATGAAAATTAATAAAAACAATAAATTATAACATCCATATAATTGTCATTCTACTTGTATTCATTATTAAAATATTGCATTTGGTTTTTCTTTCTCTTATTGCAATGTTTGCATCATGTTTGCTGGCATATCATATAACACTGCATTAATTAGATTCTACTTGTCTTCATTATTAAAATATTGCATTTGGTTTTTTTTTCTCCTATTGCAATGATTGCATCATGTTTGCTGGCAAATTATATCAAATTGATATCTTTTTCGAGGTGGGTCGAAGCATACCAAAAAAACAACCATATACTTCGGATACTTTTCCAGTATATACCGACCTTTTTTGTTTTTTGATCTGAGTACTGCCTTCCGTACAGAGCCTAGAAAACAGTTTTTGCCGTAAAACATTTCTTATCGGTTTCATACGAATGTCAACCCTGATTCTGTTCGCGAGGTGTTTTTTCGATCTGAGTACTAGGCTTAACCATACATTATATAGATGTGCCAGTTCATACAACGAATGTGTGCTCTGTCCCAGGTCCGAAGACCTCTTCGGCTCGTTGACCTGAGACGTTCGGGCGTGGAAATGAGACGTTCGGCATTTTTTCGACTTGTTCGATTCATGACGAGATGCGAAAGCAAGCCGAGAATTGCAAATGTATGTGTGACAAACAAAAAATATCACAAAAAATTTGGTTTTCAAAACATAAAGAACGATAGAACTGATTATAATTAAAAATATTTAACGTGTACCTATTATGATCATATGTGTACCTAAAAATTACCTAAAATCGAACCTTGACAAAATAAGATAGGATATTGTAACGCATCATATGATCGATGTGTTTCGAATACACGCTGCAGTTGATTGCTACGCCGATGTAAAACAATATCTCGGTTTTCTATATTTTCACCCACGACGACAATAGCGACTTCGTCAATTGTTGGCGCATTAAAACGTCTCGCGTGTTCTCCTACAGGAGTCTTATCAGCTTTGACGACAATTCTGTGGTTATCAGACGGCATGCGGTCCAATGCGGTCGTGAATAATGCAACCAATTCGTTAATTGTTGATGGCAAAACGTTTGGAGTTGTTCCACAATTGTTCTTTACACTGAATTGTTGCGTGCACAACGCTGATCGACTTGTCTTGCTGAATCGCCAAAAATTTTGAGTCACTATCCGGAGTTGGCAATAATAAACCTGTTAGCTGATATATTTGACCCTGAATATTGAAATTTGTCATAAAATTGTTTTGAATAACTTTTGTTGCGCCAAATGATTTCATCTAAACTTAAAGGCCTTGCAGTAAAGGCACACAGCGTTCATTTGTCCAATAGCAACGATTTGCTGTGAACTGTAATATATTACCGCGTTATAATTGAATTCAGAACGAAAATTCCTTTGTAAATTAAAGAAAACTATTACAACGCATCATATGATCGAAGTTTTTCGTATACAAAGCTAGCTTTTCTACTGATAGGTCTCTCTGTCAAAGATATAACCATTTGTTCACGGTCTTTGCAGCCAATATATCGGGGATTCTAGACCTTCTCTAAAACCTTCTTCTGACAATAACCAACACAACAACAAAATAATTAGCGAAATCGGTCCAGCCGTTCACGCGTGATGCCGGGACCAAGTGAAATAGGGATTCATTTTTAAATATATAAATATTTTCACTAGCTGTTGAATTTAGATTAAATTAAAAAGTCGAGCGATTCAATATACTTTATGTGTGTACAGTTTAGGTGTTAAGTAGGCGAAATATGTGGTGTGTAGATGTAGCGAAAGTAAAAGCGAGATGTACCGGTTGATCAAATCAAAGCGATGAATTAATGACGCAGGGTCTGTTCAATATTCGAGAAAAGTGAGTGATAGATCAAGACGGTAGAACGTGAGTGCGATAATGATGACGATCAATTAAAGACTGACAAAGGGCAGGCGGGCCGAATTACCCGTGCCCTAATGCAAGCGAGAGAGAGAGCAAAAGAAGCGATAGAAGCTCGGACTGTTGCTGAGCCGAGTACGAGCGATAGATAGAGAGAAAGCATGCCAGAGAGCAGCATAGATGAAGATAACGATAGCAAAGGCGAAAGAAAGCTAGAAGCGAGATGCATATATAGACCGCGATTCGTGTGTCACCAATTGACAGAATATATGCGTATGTATATATGCAACGACAGAAAAGTGCGAGAGATTGCAAAGGCATGCAAGTGCTGGACCAGATCATGACCATTGCGAAGGCATGTTAGGGCAGACGGACCGAATTGCCCGTGCCCTACGCGATGCTACGAAATAGAGATCGAGAGAGTGATTTCGAAAGGCGATAGAAAGAAAGGTGCGAAACGGCTATTACAGTGAGGGGGCAGGTGTAGATTCATGTCGATTACAATTAGGTACAGTGGGCAGTGCATTTAACTAACAAATAACATGATTTACTTTAAGGCTGCACCACTGACTATAAATACTAACTAATGCTCGGCTGGGAGACCGAACAATTCATATATATATATATAAAAGAAACAAATATAGAAAAGTTCTCTGAAAAATAGGAATTTATTGACAAAGTTGCAAAGTTGAATTTTAGTATTTAGTATATACATGTATAAAACATGTAAGTGTTCAATTTCAAATAAATTAAACAAATAACATCTTTTATTTTTATATTTTACTGGCAAACCCACGCGCTTCGCTGCGTACAAAATACATTTAATGTTTAGTAATTCATCGAAATTAAACAAAGATAATCAAAAGCAGCAAATATACTTACACAAATTGCAATTATTTCAGAAAACAATTTTTCATACAAAAAGGTATAAAAACAAAATCTATCTTAAAATGTTCTGTTCTGACACAAAATGAAATGAAATAGGCATCCAAACACATATTTTTAGACCAAATTTGAGATTTTTTGTATGATTTATGATTAATTTATGGACAAGTAAAAACTTTTGTATAGAAACAATGCCACATACTCTGACTATCATTAAAAAAAACCGCATGCAATTTGGTGTACGCGTTGCGGAGGAATTAAATGAAATAGGAGTTCAAACACACACTTTTGGACCAAATCTAAGATTTTGTTGATTAATTTTGAATTCTTGAGGAACCTATTTATAGAAACGT